AGGAGAGAAGAAGAGATTGGATTTACTCCCCGCCCTTCACTACCCAAGGGAGTCTCAGAGCGGCTCTCAAACTCCTTTCCCTTCCCCTCCCCACAACAGACACCCTGCGAGGTAGGCAGGGCTGAGAGAGCTCTTAGAGAACTGGCCCTGAGAGAACAGCTCTGACAGAACTAGGACTTGCCCAAGGTCATCCAGCAGCTGCAAGTGGAGGAGTGGCAAACCCGGTTCTCCCAGATTAGAATCCACGCACCTAACCACTACACCAAACTGGCACGGCAGGCAACAAGTTGAGCACGGAAGCAACAAGTCATTTTACTGCTGACTCTGCCACCACTGCATCGGACCCTCCCTCACTCGTGTGACTCTGGACCGGCTCTCAACCTCGCCTCTGGCCTCTGTGACTCTTGCTCATGAGTAACCGCTGGACGGCCTTAATATGTCTCTTGAACGACCTCTCGGTGTGACTTTCCCGGCTCCTGACCAATGCTCCCTCTAAGCTGTGCTGTGAGCAAACATTCTACTTGGTGAGCTGCTGGCATTAAAGCTGTGAGCGAGCGATTTGGCTGCTGCATAAATCAGTTTGCTCTGGAGCCCTCCTTCCTGGGCGAAGACGAAAATGTGTGAGCCGGAGGCTAAAAAACTGTGAGACGGCTCTCACTCACTCAGCTTAGGGGGGACACTGCTCCTGACTCAGACACTAAACTCTCGGCTTCTTGTCTTTGGGCCCTTGTAAGTCACAGCGCACACACTCTGGCTCCGGCCCCTGCGACAGGGTGTGACCGTGCCTTTCCCCTACAGTCGGTGTATTTATTTGGGAAACACCTTGGCTGCATTTCTGCAAAAGCAGAGCCACAGGAACTGTGTAAAGTGCGCTCAGTGTTTCTATAATGATAGCGATAATGTTATAAATATGAAAATTACAAAAGTGATACTAATACATTCAGATTGTAAATCCAGTTACATAAGGTAGAAGATAACAATGACGGCGGGACGGTGGTCTCCGGAATGTGATGCCGTTTCGACAAGCGTCTTCTTCTGACCAAGAATCTATAAGTGGATGATGTGTGGAAAAGTGCACGTCAATAGAAAAGCTACCCGATTCACATGGAGTTCAATACCAGTTTCACCTATTTCATTGCACAAGTAATGGAGAAAATTTCTCTCAGACACAGTTCCTGTGGCTCTATCTTTTCACGTCTACGGACTGTGACCGTATTTGTCTTTCTGCAAAAGCAGCCAAACGCAAATCCTTCCCTGCCTGCAGCCCTTCCTGCATCCCACGTAAGCCAGAGAAAGAAACGTGTTCCGTGGACGGGTGCGCGACAGTGGGAAGGGGCTCGGCTGCTGCATTGTTAGTCCCTGTCGGCCACATTTGAGAAATCCGCGTCTCGACAGATCTAAAATAAATGGTCTTCCTCCGGATCTTGTGCAATTTTTATCACCTTACTCGGCACAGAGGCTGTCGATCTAACCTGTGGGCCAAATTCCTGGCTAGAAGGCGGGAGCAAAATCAACGGACATTTTTTTCTTTTCCGACTGGACCTCCCCCCCACACACCCTGTCCTAGGAAGCATCCCTCTTCCACATACCGCAACAATTATTCATTTCATTTCAAAGGTAAAGGGATTTCAATTCCCAATGGCATCGGCGACACATCCTTCACTATTCATGCGCAGCCAGCCAATGCATAAGTGAGGAGGCCCATTATTCGCTCTCCACCATCAACATGCACAGCACACTACAGAATATTGTACACATTAGCCTCCTAATGAGAAAACATATGTTTCCGAAGCCTGGCTTGTTTGGGAATCCTGTCGGAGAGACCAGACGCCGGCAGCCGGGACACACGTTTCCTTGCTGCTTTCCAGATCTCACAATGAACAGCGACTGCAGACGGTCCCCTCCGAACCTCATCTGTAAAAAGCGGCCATGCCTCGTTCACTTGGCAGTGAGTCCCTCCTTGCACTGAACTGTCAGATACAGCTGCCCTAAATGAGGAGGACTGCAAATTATTGGGGATTTTCACAAATTCCTGTTGTGGTTCTAGCCATTGCTGGAAGCCTCATCTCCCTTCTCTTCCTGCACTGGCTGCCGTCGGAAGTGGAGTCTGCTCCATTCAACAGGATTCCAAAACAAGCAAGGGGGGGGGGGAATTCAAAGACTGGCATTTTCCTCACTGGGAAGGTGGCACAGGGATCAGTCCTATGCCTTCCTAAAAAGGTCACCGTCAACACTGAAGACGGCCTCCCCATGGCAAATGGGTCTTTCGAAACATTCACCGGGAAGGCAAGGGGCAAATCCGCATGCCTCTGCGGATCGCCTGGCACCCTGTGCTCAAGATCTCGCCCTGATTTTAATTAACTCGGGAATAATTACCGTTCTGTTCTTCTGCCTCCGCAATCAATAAAAGAGCTCTGAACGTCACTTCATACATAAGCAAAGAAAAAAACCAAGCATATACGTTACTCCAAAGCCTTTATTGCTGGCTTTCTAAACACTCAAAGCACTTCACGTGCCCCAGCTCAGCAGTCCCTACAACCCGTGTTTCCTCTAAGCTGAGCTAGTGTCAGCTAGCTCACAGATTTTTAGCCTCCGGCTCACACATTTTTGTCTTAGCTCAGGAAGGAAGGCTCCGGAGCAAACTGATTTATGCAGGAGCCAAATCGCTCGCTCACAACTTTAAGGCCAGTAGCTAACAAAGTAGAGTTTTTGCTCACAAGAAGACTCCACAGCTTGGAGGAACACTGCCTACAACAACCTGCAGGACAGGCCACCACAACCAAACCTGCGTTGCTAGGATGGGGCTGGGAAGGGGGCCACTTGCCCGAGGTCCTAGCAAAGTCCTAGCAGATACCAGGTTTGATCTGGGGACTTCCTGGTGCATCGCTTGCCTTCTGAGCTACCAGGCAGCCGTTGCCTTTCTCCACTTCATCGGCCCTGCTTAGCTTCTGAGGTCAGGCTGAGAGTAATGTGACTGGCCCAAGGTCACCCAGCAAGCTTCCATGGCAGGGGTGGGGATTCAAAACCCAGATTTCCCAGATCCAACCCTTTAACACGACGCTGGCTCTGCTACCAGGCAACATTAGCTCTCTCAAATGGGGAAAGTCAGTGAAAAATCCACCTCTGAGCCCTTTATGGCCTTCCAGCTGGGCTCATTACAAGGGGGAGGGAGTGGGGTGAAAAGGCTGCTACCCTGTGCTGGATTCTGCAGTCTTAGAGGCAAGCCACAGGGCCCAAAGGACACATTGGGAGACAACCTCAGCCTCCAGGGACGGGAAAGGGTTCTTCTCCTCAATCCATCAAGCGTTCACTTGCCTACAAATGAGAGAGGGCAGGGCGAGCCCATGCCGATATATTTTTCCTCTAATAATCCACGTTGGAATTATTGTTTCAGATTTGGGGGGGGGGGGGGGGAGGCTCTGGGAAATCTAGCAGGAAGCCTGCGATTGTCAAAAGGGCAACTGCAAAAACGAGGCATAACCTTGAGACATCTTTGACTGGATCGCCTTCATTTTTTTTTTTTAAGAAATAAAAGCAGATTCTGAGATGGGAGTAATTTGGATCAAAGCCCTTGCAGGGGGGGGGAGAGCAAGAATTAACCCTCCATACCATTTTGCAAAGTAAGTTATTCCCCCTTCCAGCCACCCCCTGGACAAAAACTGGGAAAAAGGGGGGGGGAAGACTCAACCCAAGAAAACACTGCGAACCACAAGGGTTAAGCTGACCATGTAACAACCTTACAGGGGGAGAATATTAAAGATCCATTTTCCGGTGCTGTAGTTCGGATTCAAATCCCAACCCTAACCGCTGCTTTCAAGCTACAGAAAAACCCAGGGCCATTGCAAGATTCTTCACGATCTGGTGTCAACGACAGGAGCCCTACACCCTCAAGCAATAAGAGATGATCTAGATTTATCTTTTTGTCTCCAGGAACGCTTGTCCTGCCTTGGTCTTTTTTTGGACAATGTGCTCACCCTCCGGAGGACAGCTGCAAGGCTTCCACAATGTATACCCCCTGTTTCTTCTACACTCCACTGCAACTGTAACCGACTGGAGGAATGGCAGGGAAGCGGAGATTCCTACCAGAACTGGAGCACACTCTTACCTCGGTGTGACTCAACCCCCCCCCCCGTCAAGCCACCGTTGGCACCTACCAGCTCCCCCACGTGTTACTTATAGCTGCATCGGAGGGCAGAAAGGTACAGAATTTTAATCCGGATTTTGGAGAGCATTTCCTGTAGAAATGCAGGGCAGGTTCCCCGCCCGGCTGCCCCCCCCCCCCACTA